GGGGGGGTAATGTGAGAATCCCGTATGGGAGAAAATGCTGATTTGTTTTTAGGGGAAGCTCCGGTTATATGTTTTCTCCAATTTTGGAATGAGAATCTCTGCAAGACTCTGACCCATGAGAGATTTCCCCCTACTTCCTGTCCCGGTGACACCCTATTCCACCCTATGAGACACGTTGGCACTGGAGCAGGAAGTGAGTCAAATCTTCCTAATGGTAATAAAGATAACAAGAAGTAATTTCTCCGGACATTGGCAGGTCCGGGATTAGTAGGAGGAGCTTCGATAACCCCTCAGGAGATTTTAATGCCGTTCCTCACCGAAAAACACTTTTGCTTTTTCCATTGACGTCAATGCATTTGTCACATTTCCATGAAGAGATGGGGTTGGGGGTAGAGAGTTCCAGAGGATGGGAGAGGCTCATGGGAGGAGGTGAGGAGGGAGCTGGAGATCTGGAGGTCTGGGGATGAGCCAGGCGGACAATATTGGTGTGGCTCGGAGTTCAGCTTTAAATGTATTTCCTAGAACTAGTATAAGTACCGGAATCCATTTTCATATCAGCTGCCCTTTGTAGCAGGGGGGTAACTAGATGACCCAGGATGCTCTGGGGTGCTCTGGAGTTATGGGGTACAGGGGGGCACACTGGGGGTAACTAGATGACCCAGGATGCTCTGGGGTGCTCTGGAGTTATGGGGTACAGGGGGGCACACTGGGGGTAACTAGATGACCCAGGATGCTCTGGGGTGCTCTGGAGTTATGGGGTACAGGGGGGCACACTGGGGGTAACTAGATGACCCAGGATGCTCTGGGGTGCTCTGGAGTTATGGGGTACAGGGGGCACACTGGGGTAACTAGATGACCCAGGATGCTCTGGGGGTGCTCTGGAGTCATGGGGTACAGAGGGGCACACTGGGGGTAACTAGATGAAACAGGATGCTCTGGGGTGCTCTGGAGTCATGGGGTACAGAGGGGTACACTGGGGGTAACTAGATGACCCAGGATGCTCTGGGGGTGCTCTGGAGTCATGGGGTAAAGAGGGGCACACTGGGGTAACTAAATGAAACAGGATGCTCTGGAGTTATGGGGTACAGGGGGGCACACTGGGGGTAACTAGATGAAACAGGATGCTCTGGGGGG